CAGCTGCTTCACATGGACTTGGCACTGTGCCCCTGCTCACTGGACTCCAAGCCCATGGGCCTGGCCACAAGCCAAGCTCCCCGAGCTCTGACCTCACGCTCACACTGACGCAAGAGCACTTCTGGTCTTGCTGAGCACTGAGCATTTTCTGAGGGTTTCTCCCAGAAAAAGCGACACAGACTGAGCTCAGCTTTACACAACATCAGCATCATGTAGGACAGACTAAGGCTGGTAACTTCAGGAGTTGAACTGAGAATTCTGAAAGCTCTGTCCAGGTGAAATCTGCACAGGGTAGGAATATGTACACATCTGTGGTTCAAGAGCCACTTTACTTGGTCCCAGGTACCAAAGTTCAAAAACCAAAGCAGATTCTAAGTGATTTTCAAATTTGAAAAAGGCTAAATAACATATATTATGTATGTTAATCAAACAGCACAAACCAGTTCTCCTGAGAACCTCTGAAGGCTAATCACAACATAAAATTAGCATATATTTCATCTTTTTATAAACGTCTTAACACTGCACACCACCAACAGGACAGCTGTATATTTGTGTCTTCTTGTGAGGAGCATCAAAATTGATTTAGGTTTTTTTATAACTTACACTAAATATGGAACTTTTATGGTTACCTGGGATAAAACAGCTACGAATTTGTTCTTGCAAAATCCTCACTAAGACTCACTGTAATCTAAGGTATCACTAATGAAAAACATTGTTTTGCAAGATGAAGGTCCATCTTAAAACTGGATGTATGACATGCATGAAATGCATGAATATGCTCAGCACACAAATTCCAACTGGATTTTTCCATTAGAAAGATTAAATTTTTTTCTTATTAAAAATGTATCACCAGCTTTTAAAAATAGTTAGGGCAAAGGAAACTAGAAACAATAATTGCATCAGTTCTATTTAATTTAAAATGCTCCATTTCTGCTGCTGAAGTATAATTTCATTATAGCACTTTAACCTAGACATTTTTAATTTGGGTAAGAAAGCTTTGCCTCAAAATTCCTTGTTGAATGAAGACAAAATTTAAAATATGAGCCAACAAAATGACAACAGATGTTTTATAGCAGTTTATGTAACACATTACTGAACTACTTTTTGAGGCTCAGCAACCTGAATATCAACCTTTTGAACCTAAATTCATGCCTCAGAGCAAAGCTCTGACACAAACTGATCTTACTGTGAGTTTTTTTTATGATTTATACTTCAATTCCAACAGAGGCTGTAACTTTAACAGCAGATCAGAAAACAACTTAGGCTGGATATTTTAAAAGTTTTTGCCTCGGAAATGCTTTTGAGAGCCACATGTTTGGGGTAAGAGGCCAACAACACATCCATGAATAAAACCCCAAGTTCTACAACTTGGGCATCATTCCCAGAGGCAGTAAGGGGGTGCATTGCTCCTGAATGGTCTCACTTGACACAAAAGCAACTCCTTCCTTTCCTTTCTCATTCAAACTCCTGCAGTAATGCCCTTCACCTTGATTTTCATGCCTTATGTAGTGGTGACAATGAGATACAAAATAGCTACATGTGTGTGTGTGTGTGTGTACATCCATACCCATATTTTTTCATCAAGGCTTGCTAAGCACTGAGTGAACACTGTAATGCAGAAGGACTCCAAACAGCAGCAAATGGCACTAGGACACACCACAGCCACATTCACAAGCCCTTCTCCCATCGAACAGGCTACTTAAACACATTTCAATACATTTCAGTTACTGGCTGGGAAAAAATAAAATTATTTATAGCACCTGTGTGTTTGTTGCCTTTCTTTTTTTTCTTCAAATTGTAGCTCTAGCAGTTTTGCTCAGGTACTGGTCTCTACTGATTAAACACTAGGGAATTTAAACAATGCAAGTTAAGAATCCATTGAAGAAGTCTGGTTTGGGTCTTCAACAGAAATACTTATACAGGTGGTAATTATTGATCTCCCCGCTTAAACATTAACACTCTGGTGCATCTTTGAGTCAAATATTTCCCCTGGTAGGATATCTTCCTTTTTCATTGTCTCTATTCCTCATTTTCAGTGGTGAGAATACATTTAATCCCCTTAAATGGGTGAAATGACAGAGCTAGAAAGTTCAGGGAAGAGAGCAACACACACACACACACACACACACCATTATTACTCACTCATCTGACCAACACTAAACTGCTGTTCTAGGACACAGTCACAGGATCAGATTTACAGGCAGAATAAAACCCATTTCATCCACTTCACACTCCAGATTAACACTCTTCCTCCTCACTTTTAAAAAACTAAATGCAGACACACAACTAAATCTTCTGTCATAATACAGGAAACTTAAAAGGATTCCCACACTTAACAGCAGACCTAAATAAAATTCCTGTTATTCTTTCCTTTACTCCAAGCAGAGTTCTCTTTTTCTCTGTCATCTAATTTGACTCTGCAGAAGTTCAATGAACCTTCCTTAAATAACTCTGATCCACCTTTGAGCCTACATGGTGGCATAAAAGGCAATAGGTACTGCTGTGTGTACAACTCTTCAGTGTTTAAGCAGTGTAGCTTTTCACACACAGAAAAAAATTCTTTGGCCATTACTCCTCCAAACTGATGACATGGAAATTCAAGCTGTGGGTTGGGTGACTTAGAGATACAGTTTTCAGACAGGAGGTGATAGATGTGACATGTCTGTCTCTCAAATGTCAGGTGGTCTCCAGTGTAGCTCACTTGCCTGCCAACAAGGACTGCTTTTTCCAGGGCTCCCTACTCCAGGCTCTCACCACCAGAGCGCCTGCTGTCACAGGCACATGGATCGTATGCAGTATGGAAACCCAGGGCCTAACCTAGAGCTGAAAATTAAGTTCAGTTTTCACGGTTGGAACAAAGATTCTGTGGCATTAGTAAACCAATCTACCCTTCTCGTCCTTCTGGGTAAGGACTTGTAGCAGTTGCATTATTTATAAGGGTTTCACTTTTATTTACAGTAAGACTATCTGAACGTACCGATGCTGCAAACATCCTAATAAGTTACAGTCCCTTTAGCAGGGGACCTCTAGGGCAAGTAAAAAAGAATATGTATGAAAGGCTTCTGTTCCATGTAGCTAAAAGAATCCAGTAGTGTCCTTTACCCAAAGACAAATTAACATATTACACAGAGGAAGAGAAGCAGCAAGATCAAGAATTACACTGGCCTGGTTTTGAAAACACTTGGCTAGCAGAATTCAGGGCAAATTCCAACCTCATTATCTTCAAAAACCCAATTAACAGGCCATCCTATAAGGAAGGGCTTGATGCAGCTACCTAAGTCCTCTTTATCTTTTCAACTCAAATACACATTTTTGTTTTCCATACCCTTTAAACAAGAAAAGTACCACATCCATGAAAAGAAACTTTACTGTGGCTTGGCTAAAAGTAGCCCCAGCTAACCAAGCACACTTTGACTTCTGCTTACTAAAAGCAGGAATTGGTGATGTCCAGAAATGAAAAATGAGGGAAGACAGAATGCTCACTAGTGCATCTGACATCGAAAACATCTTTATCAATTCAGTGAGGTACCTGAGCCCAAAAACATGGTTCAAAGCAAGAGATACTCGTAGAATATTCTTTTCCAGAAACACATAAACCAATGTAACACCCCAGAGCCCTGAGATTGGCTCAGCTGGTTAGAACATGCTGCTAACACCACCAAGGTTGTGGGTTCAATCCCCAGATGATCCATTCACTTACGAGTTGGGCTCCATGATCCTTGTGGGTCCCCCTTAACTCAGAATATTCTGTGGAATCTGTGAACTCAAAATACAGAGGTGATATGAGAACCCTCACTGTCACCCTGCCCACCCAAAGAGGCTGTGCAGCCTTCCTCAGCCCCCTAGCAGAACCACACTATCCCAGCTGTGTGCTTGGCACTGATGCTTGGCTTGGGGGGGAGAGTGAAGCTTTTATACCTTTGTGACCACCTTCTCCTGACAGCACAAAACCAGCTCCCTCAGGCCAGCTTAAGGAATCATCTCCAGCACTGCTGCCTGCTCTTGGGTTAAGCTCCTGGTAAATCAGTGTCACCACATCGTGCCAGATCACTTTGCTATTATGCAAATCAAGCACTTCAGACAGACTGAAAGGGAAATAATTTATGTGAAAGGCTATGACTCCCAAATCTGCAGAAGCTTCACAATTGTCCTGTTAATCTGAAAATGCTGATGTCACCTCAAAGCATCCACACACAATGCTTCCATTACATAACTACCAACAAAATAAACAAGAGGAAATACTTTTACCAGATTTTTTTTAAACATTTGCTTACACAAAGCTGCATTTGCCTCTTACAGTACCACATACCAATAACATACCACTCAGTATTTCAAACTCCAGTAACGTTTCCTTTACAGCACAGAAATAGTTACATTATGCTGAAGCTTGTTGAAGTGGCAACGAGATGACACATCACATTCAACTCACTTTACAGCTCATGAATTATTGCATATTGTACCCGTATCAAGTTGTACCAATTAAGGAAAAATCCATGGGAAAAAAAATCCATCTGGAAATTAAAGCATCGTTCATATTAATCGAGAAACAGAGCAACGCTCATGGTAATTTCCTCATTTTTCACTGAATAAAGAAGCCATTAACATGCCCCTTGATGTGAAAAGTACCACCAGAATAAGAACTGCCCCATTTCCCCTACGCTCTACCACATTTTTGTTATTCTGACTATAGCTCCTGAGAGTTGTTACTGAAAGATCAGTGGCAACTTAGGTAGAGAACTTCAAAATGCATCAAGAGACACAGTACATCATCTCCAGAAAATGTCCAGGCTTGGCTGGTTTGACTGACCACAGCCTCAGGTCCAGGCACTGAATTTTGCTGTCCAAACACACAAGAGAAAAGCAAAGCACCACCTTCAGGATGCTCCACTATTATTTTTTGTCTTTTTTTTTTTTTTTTGTCTTTTAGCAATTTACCTGACACTGCCTTCTTGCTGCAATCACTCAGAGGAGTGTTTTATTGCATGTTAAAAGACAAGATATGTATTGAAAGTAGCAATTTTATTTGAGTTAAAATTATTTACAAAAACCCAAAGACATACTTCATGAAACTGGTACAAACTATTTTTCCTGCCGTTGGCTTTTGCTCCAAAGATCACAGCTGAGAAATACTGTATAAAATAAAAATAGGATTGGATTCAGAAAAGTACTCTACTGTTCTAATTTCCAATTGAGAGTATTTACACAAATATTTACAGTGGAAAAAAAGTTACTTTAAAACTTTAATTTGCAAGTTGGCCTCAAGTACCCTTTAATGCAGAGTTATTTGAGGGTCTAACACACAAAAATGCACTGCAGTTCACAGGGTGATTTCTCCCCCCACCCTCAAAAAAAAAGTATCTGCATTTGTCAGTGCTTGACAATTAGTTACATTTAAAAAAACTGTTAAACACTGAGGTAAATCAATTCCCAAACAATTACCAGTGTAACGAAGAAAGGTAGTTGTCCCTGCTTTCCCCCATCATCACATTTGGATTTTCTTTTATCTTGCCATATCTCCACAGAAAACCACATAATCAATTTGAAATTCCATTATAAGTGAAAATCTCTAAAATCACAAAACTAGATGGGCCAAATATTCAGTCATTTCCTCCTGATACAGACCATTTACATCCAGCTTCTCCCTCTCTCTCAATACTGGTTTTTTGTTTTGTTTTTTAACGAAGGGGAATACAACCTCAAAAACTTTTCTAAGTTACACTGATAGACTAAGTTTTAGAAGGTGATGAGAGAAAATGCAAAAAAATATGACCAACATAAAATTTTTGCCGCTAATCAGTTACTTCCTTACAGAATTCCCAACAATCTGCATTATCAAAAATAGGAAGACATAGAAGGCAGCCACTGTATGTAAAAAATTTACAGCTGGCACTGATACAAAAGCACAAGTTCTTAACTTTATACATGGAGATAACACAAGATCTAAAAGCAGGTTAGATTTCCTGTTATTTCCTCCTCATTATACATAGAACTAATATTCTTATGGCTTCAAGTTTTACAAATTCATGGAGTAACACGATGTAACTACCTATACAGGTATTTAAAAATGTCAGCGAAGCAGATCTCAGAACAGTCTGCAAATATTCAAGACCACCTTAATAAAAATAATTACCAATTCTGTTGGTCTGAATAGTGAGTGCAAGAAAAAAATTGCTAAAAAAATTAATGTATTTTCTGGGATTCTTTGTTCCACTTCAGTCTTCAAACACAATGCTTTGCTGTGAACTAGACCTCAGACTGAACAAAATCTTAGCTATATCAGCAATTTAAGGCTTTGTGTTGTATGCATTTCAACTCTGTCATACTACAGAAGAATGAAATAGAAAGATTATGTCAGCTGGAAACATTAATCCCCATTGGTGTTTTAGCTTCTTAAAAATTCTTCCCCCTAAAGCATCCAAATTCCTGTACTGAACATTATAAAACACACCTGGAGTTCTTCCTCGAAACAAACTAAAACAGCATTTCAAAGTTTTTGCTTATTAGAAGTGTAAACTACCCTGGGATTAAGCATCTTTTTTTTTTTTTTTTTAATATTTTTTTCCTTTATTTCCTTTGCTTTTTTAAACAGGGCACAACTTTTTATAGTCCCTATTTCTTTAGTGGATAACACACCCTCAGAATGGCTTTGTGTGGTGCTGGGGCTGCATGCTTGGAACTACAAAGCATTATGGTCTGTCCCGTTACAGTACATGGGCCGTGGGAGGTGTAGAACTGAGAAATAGTTCAACGACCTAATTTCAATCAAAACAGTATAAAAAATAAACTATCCAATCCTCGCCTCTTTGGATTCCAACAAATTTTAAATATAGACAGTAGTTAAAATCACAAAAGTATTTAAAAATTTATATTTTATGATTTTGGAATTATCTAGTAATAAAAAAAGCAAGAGCAAATTAAACTCAAATAGGAGCGGTGCTGCTGTCCAGAACTTCTTTATTAGAACATTTGTTTGATACCTCAGTAGCTAAGCTGCCTTTGCACCTGGCTGGCATGAAACAGTGGCTCAACAGTAAACAGCAGTTGCACTATCAGCAGCAAGTTTTTCCCCTTGAAACTTGTCACGAACAAAGCAAGAAAAAAAGATAGGGAGGGCAGACCCTGCCAAAAATATTTAAATACTGCACTGCATCATAAACAGCAAGGTTTCTTTATTTACTTTCCTCAGAACCTTTTTCCCCTCATTTTTGATAGTTGCAGATTGATGTAGTAACTGTCTTTTAGAAAATGCTGAATGCATGGTTAAGAGACCAGGTAGCCTTAAAAATCCGAACACGAATGACACAGATGAATGCTCTTGGTATATCCTTCAAGGACTTCTTTCATGACTTCTTCTTTTGTCTAAGGGTAGCTCCAGCATTAGAGTGCCTGCAGCGGAAGTTAAGTATCTAGCAGTGTTCCAAGTATTCAATCACCCTAGAGATAGATTTCTGGCCTGTTGTTCCAACAGCACACTGGAAATGTAACAGAAAACAGAAGTAACAAACAAGCATTTGTAACACCTTGTTAAAATATTTGAGAGCTATTCTAATTTCACAATTTTAGTGTTTACAATTATATAATCAATAAAAGCAACTAGGGTTCAGGCAGACAATCAAAAGTATTTTCCTGACCAATCACAGTATAATGACAGGCAAAATTACGACAGTCAAACGGGTCTTCAGTATTTAAAAAGGGAGTATCATCGTGTGCTCTTATCAAGACAACAACTGAAAACTTAATGCTTTTAAAAATGGATGAAATATTAACAAAAAACACAATTACTAAAATATCTACATACATCAATTTGAAATATATATTACTTACAGTAAGGTTCATAAAACTGAGAAATTTTTTGAGCATTTCAGTCATTATCGAGAAGTCCCCTTCAGGTAAGTACTCCCTCACAGTAGTCACATTGATCTAAGAAATAAAACAATCTTTGTTCATTTGGGAAACATTTTTCTAACATAGAACTATAGTACTCTGCATGTGACATGCAATAAGACAAGCATATTCAGAGGATTATTAAGATGGTTTTTGCTGTCATCTTTATGATTTAATTCTCTTTTAAGCAATATTCATATGCTTACTGTGTTTATATTTCTAGACAACAACAATTGCTAAAATATTTTTTGTTGTTGGTTTGATGGTTTGGGTTTTTTCCCCTTAAAAAAATAATCAAAGAAAAAAAAGGACTGTCAGACCTCCCCAGGACCCACAAGATTATCAAGAACTAAAAACCCCACCAAATCACTCTTCTGACTTGGAGAGACTCTCCCTTTACAACTGTTGAGGGTTGAGAATTACTGAATTTATTGTCAGTCTCACTCCAAACACTAAAACTGTACAGGCACTAATCTGTACAAAGGCACAGAACAGCACCTTAAAGACCATTTCTGCCACCATGGCAAATATAGTCAAGCCTGAAGGCAGGTCTGAACCTCATTTTCATTTGAGCATATATTTGATAGGAAACTTTAGGAAGTTCTCAGCCATTAGAGTTCTGTACTTTTAACTTCAGCTTTCTATTACATATTTCGAACCTGAGGCAATCATCTTGAACTAATATGGACACAGACAATTTCATGTAATTTCAATGGAGGAAAAAATAAAGCAGACTGATAAAGAATAAACAAGTCTGACGGTAACTTGCTTATTTACTGAGAAAGCACAGGCTTGCCAATTTGCCTTTCCAAAATAAGTTCTTTTGCTGGCTACAAATAAGGGGAGAGAGGTGAAAGAGGTTAAATATTCAATTCCAACTGTTTTTGAAAAAACATACTGATGTTCAGAAAATTTGTTTTGGATGGAATACGTCTGGCAACTTTTCACAAAGCTGTATACATCAATGTAGCTTCAGCAGTGTACTTGCTCACACTGAAGCCTAATTTAACCAACCCCTTTCAATACAGGAAATTATTACTTCACTAAAAATTATACTGGACTTAAGAGCAACTTATTCCCTTACTGGACTCTCCTGGCAGAGACAGCCTAGAAGCAATGCTGTGTATGAGGCCACAATGCAGTCTTCCATGTGCTTCCCAGCATGCTGAAGAGCTGTAAAAAGAGACAACTGAGTGTATTGTATTCTCTAACCACCTGCTATCTTTTACTGCTTCAAATACAATCTTTCATTATCACTTTCCAGAATACTTTTTTCTCAAACAAAACGAGATCTTGGACTGGGAGTTCAGAGGCAGGAATCAGGAAGCACCCTACTTACTGACTCAGCAGCACATTCTCGACAAGAAAAATGGTTTTCATTCACTTTTAACTCATTCTGCTGGATAGTATTTTACTGTCTGCCATTTCAATGTGCAAACTTTATGCTGAACACACCAAACTACCAGTGTAACTGCTTCATGTGATACTATAAGCCAGTAAGACTTCTACCCAAAGCAGTTTATAGCATTAAGGACAGCAGATATAGTGGTTTTTTGCTGATGACTCAGCATTTTTTGCAAACTACAAATAACTGCAGACACCAGTTGGTGGAGCTACAAAAAGGAGGAAGGATATAAAGCAAGGTTGGAGAAAGTAATATACCACACTTATGAACAAAAGATTAAAACACTATTAGAAATAATACAATGCACCTACATTTGGAAGATTAAAGAAGGACTGATGTTTCAGACCTGATACATTTTCAAGAGACAAACTACATCACAGCTTAGAGATATTCAAATTCCTGGGACAAGCTACCAAAGATGCAGCACATGAAGGCATTACACAGATACCTGAGATACCACTGATGGGGTAAGAAGACAGAGAAGATGGGGACAGAGGAGGTACACATGCAAATAGGGAGAGGAGGGAAAAAAGCTCCAACCCTTAAAAGTAGCTTAAAACAAGAACCCTGGGAAACAAAATTAAGGCAGATAACTTACAAGGACAAGGTCCCTAAAAAGGTTTTGGGGTTTTTGGATCTCTTTTTTTTTTGAGGGGGGGGGGGGTTTGGTTTGTTTTGGATTTTTTTAAGAAACTGATAAAAGGTACTATTAAATAAATAAGAAATAGCAACATTTCTTCCACTTCTCATACTGCTCCTACTTATGGTTTGTAGCAGTTTCACCTGGAAATCTCAGCCCAAGAGACTGCATGTAGGTGGGAAGCAGAGGACAAGGTGGACTTCATGCAACCACACAGTTCTTTGCCTTCGCTGAGCTCATCACAGCCAGACAACGTACCTTTATTAAGATCAAGTTCTTCATCATCTTCTTCCTTCTTAACCTTCTCTTCAGTACTATCTGGCTTTTCTGTGGAGACCCACTGGATCTCCCCACTTGTCTCCTGCCATTCCCCACTCTTATCATGCTGAGCAGTAGGAGCTTCTTTAATCAACTCGTCTGTCTGGCTCTCAGCCAGCTGTGCCGCTCGCTCACACTCCAGGAATAGCTAACAGGGAAAATTTCAGGACAATTTCCATTATAAATTAAACCCTAAACACACTGAGTTAATACTGGAAAGTTTATTCCCCATTCACAATTCACCCCTTAATACAGTTAGTCTTCAATACTTTTCTTAACAATAGCCTTTTCTTCTTCAAAGGAAAATATAATCTGTCCCAACAGCTCCACAGCAAGATCTCCCTCCCCAGTGTTGAACCAGCTGCCAGGCTCCTCTTGGGCACTGTAAATGTTTCATTGCTTTCTTTGAGACATGGCTTCAAGACTAAAAGTTGCCATAATTTCCTGTCCATCTCTGTTGTCTACCAATTTTCATCTTCTTTGGACCCTAGCTACACACTCTTGGCTTTCTTAGCTTTTACCTTGATATGTAAAAAGCAAAAGTATGAAGGAGTAATTTAAAATGACTTATCAAAAATGTGAATGAACCAGTAATCTCATATTGTGCATTTATATCCTGTCAATTATTTTCCAAATAATAAAATGACCACTTTTAAATATTGCCAAACTGTATACATTAAGATATTTAATATCATTACTTTTATCGGGTTTTTTTGTCTGCTGCTGAACAGTTATTCCATATAGTTAACAGAACTGCTAAAAGCAACCACAAAATTAACTACATTGAAATAAAAAGTCTGTCATTTCCTTTCCATTTTTTCATTTTAGTTTGCATGGTGGAACTCATTCACCAAAATCACTGGTGGATTTCTTTTTTTTAAACAAGCCAGTCAATACAGTGTTTAAGAATGCTGTTTCACATCCATAATAATTACATCTGCATGTAAGAGAAAAGTAGCTTACAGTTTTTACAGCTGGCTTAAAACAAAAGTCAAAGTAAACAATAGGAACAATAAAACTAGAAATAAACTGTATAGTAACAAAAAAGCTTTAGGGACATGAGAGCAGCCTTTGGATGTCTGTAATAATGATACCACTGTCTTTTACCAGGAAAGCTGTTTCTGTAGTGGACAGTATGGCAAAAGTCAGAATTTTGAGCAGCACCCCTCTCCCCCACTGTGTTGTATTACTCAAAATACTGAACAGAAAAAATTCTGACACATCTTCATTTCCGAGTTCTCCCTTCTCCCTTGACAGTCTGATAATGAGAAATGGCAGCTGTCAGAGGACAAGCATTTCTTACCTGCACTAAAGCCTGGACAGCATCAATCTGTCCAGTTATCTTCAGGCTCTCGTCTCCTTCGCCCGTGCACAGGGAGTCAAAGGAACACGATGTCTCCATATTGACGAGACAGTGCCTGTTCCGGGCACTGTATTCCACCAGATTGATCAACAGACCCAATCCCTGCAAGAATTAGAGAGTCAAAAAGGATTACACACATTAAAATAAGACACTTCAGCAAAAAATGTCTTCTTTAGTGCTTATCTGAGGATACATAACTTACTAACACACCCTTATGAAACAGTCTGAGAGACGGAGGGAACAGGATTTAAAGAAATACAAGGCAGAGATCCCTGTACAGGAGAACTTTCATAGAGGCATCTCTGTTTTTCCAGTTCTGAACATGAAAACATTTCTGGAGCTGAGAATTTCTTTGCAGGTTAGGGATTCATGTATCCAACCTTCAGATTATGTTCTTAAGAGATCCTACACATACACAATTTTGTTGTAGCTATTTAGGTCACACTGGTCTATTTTACATAAACTGAGGTAAATTTGACAAAGCCTTTATCTTACACAATAACCAAAGTTCCAAAGTTGAAAAGATCTTTGAAAATTAGTAATTCACAGTCTTATTTAGCTAAATCTCTTTGTTCACCAAGCAGTGCACTTTTTTCCCCACAAAACACCGGAATAAAAACCTCAAACTCACCAAATCCTTGCAGAAACTTTAAATACCTCACTAAGTGTATATATATATATATATAAAAGACAATGAAAACTAGAGGAAACTATTCCTTAATGTGGAACCAAAGTAGTTCAAAGGGCAAGAAGGGGGTAAACAATTTTCTGTTAATGTAACAAACACAATAGCTTACCAGCACCCGAATATCAAATCTCTGTTCTTGAGGTAGGAACTTTGGAACCTGAAGCACACAATTCATTGCTGTGCCTATCAGACCATCTTGTTCACCTGTTTTTGTACTACCCCATTCTGTAAACAAAGAGAGTTGAGAGGCTCAATTTTGAAAATACTCACGTTCATAATGGTAAGCAGATTGATAAAAACCTTTTGGTCCTAAGGACAAACCAGCCTCCCCCAGCCTAAGCACACACCTCAAACACTTTACACTTGCAATTACTCATCCAGCTTGTACAGACAAATTACTGATGGCTCTAAGCAAGCATCTACCATACATAACTGCTTCATTGCACTGTACATGGAAAAACCCTAATCAGGACCAAAAAAATGTTTTATTCGATGCTTTATCAGAGAATATGCAAAATAATTGTTGGTTTACCGTTATCATTTGTCAGGTTGAGCAAGACCCCAATGATGGCCCTCATACAGTCTTCCACTGCTTTACCCACATGGTTAGTTACATTCTGGTGAGGCAAAGGCTTGTTGTCTGGTAGGCAGATACTGTCTTCAGCACGATTATATCGCTGGATTAACTCCTCACAATGCTGCAGGGCTCTGCAGGGAGAAGATGCAGAACAAAGTTATCTTCACAACATAGAGAACATTCCTCTTTTATCCTTGTTCACCAGGAAAAAAACTCAAACAGAGCTTATGCAGAATTTTTCTGATATCCAGATGCCCACTCTGTAGGTAGACATAAACTTATCACCCATAAAATCTTTCATAAGCTCAACTGAAATTACGAAAAACAAAAACCGGGGAAGCTTTGTCGCTTAGAGCTTTATCAGCTTGGTATTTCAAGAGCAAAAGTTAATTTTCCTTCCCAGCTTCAGCTTGGTCTTACAATAGATATCTCCTCTTCCTACAAACTCAGTCTCTCATATCCTCTGGCCATCAAGGCACAACATGATTCTGACAGTGTTATCTAAATTTTCTCTTGTTCTCTTCTCAGAACTATTTCCCTTCTGTAAGAAATGACACATGACTTCCTACTAGTACAATCTAATCTTGTAACACTAATGGACCATAGGCACAATTCTACTGCATAACACCAGTTTCATGTTAAACCACTACACTGATTTAAATTACAAATAAAACTAGAAATGTCCAAAATATATATTGGTCTAAATAGCATATTAAACTGCAATTTGTTGGTTTTTTTTAATTTTAAAAAATACTCCAATATCTAACCTACAACCATTAAATAATTTTTCCAATGAGGTCTGTAAAGTCAACCTTTCAGCTTCATTTGTTCTCTTATGAAGAGCAATACAAGGGGCAGACAGTCTCTGCCAGCCAGCTGAGACCTCACCCAGATGGATAAATGGGTTAGAGGTGTTTGTATAAGAATCTCTGTCAGGGAGAACAGCCAAGAACAGAATTTCACTACTTTAATTCTTACTTACACTGTCAATTCTGTTATGCTCCACTTAAGCAAATACATAAGCATAATGAAAACACAGCAAATAAGTGTAGCTTCATAACTGCCCTCTTCTGTGTTCCTACTGAACTTGGTACAGATGGAGCCAAATCCACAGTTTGCAGCTTCTACAGAACCAACAGTAGCAGCACTAGACATTGGCAGTACTCTGTTAGTTGCCCATACCTTCATCTAAATTAACTTCACCATTACTTAATGGAAAGTAACAATGGAAATGGTGGTATTATGCCCCCCTAGAATATTCTGGTATAACATTCTGTTTATTTTTTCCCCCATCCTGTGAAGTGTTGTGCCAAATTGTCTTTTTTTTTTTTTTTTTTACAACTTACTTAGCAGAGGAGACTATGAGTTGTGAGTCTTTGTATGCTATCAGATAGCTCTGATTTTCTGGATTATGCACAGTTACCTAAAAAGAGAAGGAGAAAGTAATATTAAAAATAGGAGGGGTTTTCTTTACCTGAAAGAGAAGCATTCCCTTTCACTACTACCCCACTTTATTCAGTTCCACATTTCTTGGTTATTATCCAGTGTAAACTTTCACTTCTCATTATCCATTACTGCATCACAAACCATCCTGAAGTTCAAATTTGAATATTCTAACACTAAACAAGGTTCTTCTAGTGTTGCTTGGAAATTCCGCTGTCCAATTTAAAAGCAGAAAATCGATCTGAAAATTTTTCTCTCACCTTTGACAAGGCACGTAATGAGTATTTTTAGGCAGAAACCCTTCACCAACTGTTCAGCTTTCTCAGTTTTTAGCTTGTGCTTATACTACCTTTGAGTCTGTCCTTTTATTTTAGTGAAGTTACCACTGTAGCTATTTGCCCTCTAACCCAGGTTCAATGTGTTCAGTGAGATTCATTGAACTCTGATCCCAAATGTTGCTTTCCGATCCGTGGAGATGTGTTGCTAGAACATAACAATGTTCTCCTGCTTGCTTATGGTATCACAATAACAGTAACACCAATAACAAACACCAAACTCAGCAGAGAAGCACCCACTAACCATTCCTGTCAATTAAGCTCTACAAAAGTACCATATATTTTGATTCTGCTCGAAGTTCTCAAAGAAATATTTACCATCTCTGTTTACATGCTTAACTGATGACAGGACTACTTTGCCTTTCAGGGCAGTTTTCTCTTTCAGCGCTTCGTCAGATGATGGTTCAAATTAGCAATTCTTAAAATATACATCGGTTTATTGCTTCTAAGAAAATACTGCTTCTATAATGATCAGCTATTACTAGACACACACTGAAGAGTCAAACTCATGCCATGAAAACAACATCCATAAACAGCAGCTTTTCATAGGAACTTTAGAAAAAGCATCGTGTAACATTTAGTTATTCTTACCAAAAATAAACCCGGAAGGCAGTACATACATACAGAATAGTAAAACAGATTTTCAAACATTCCAGAAACACTGATAAACATCAGAAAGTTAGTACAAGTCTACGAAAAAAAAAAATCAACATTCTAGTGTTGTAATGTAACTATATCCCAAAAGACTGTTACAATGAAAAGGTCTGCTTAAGAAGGGTTTTCAGAAATGCAATGTATCTGCTCATACTCACGCTTTCTAAGACCCGTAAACACCTTTCTGCACCCCATAACGAAGCAACCAACTTCTCCTCATTTTCATCACTGCTTAGGTGATCCACACATTCTTTAACTAAACACAAAAAGAAGTTGTTTTCCACTATCAGAAAGAGATCTTCAAAAGCCAGTTGTACAAACTAAGCAGCTACTCAGAGAGTTGCTATCGACCTTGTTTTACACTTTACACACCTGCAATGAATGCTTGGAAACAATTATCAAGCCACGATCAGCATTTTTCATTTCTCCAAGTAAATTTAAAAAACAAACCTTAACATTTGGCCCTACAAGTTTGTGATTGTTGCTACAAATTACTTAAATCATATATTTTATTTTCTCCTGACAAAGAAGAGATTATCCAGCACACGACTATGTTCCTTAACTGTAGTGGACTGTCTTTTAGCAGAGAAAAGAGATACAGCAAGCACATGCTCCCCACACTTCAAAAATCTGAAATCATAACCTGAAACCATGTGCAAGTTGAACACTTTCATCTCTCCAATCCTCCTTTTGTTCTTCCTCTGCTTACTTAAGACCCAGCTTTATTCAGTTCAAGAATTCATTTTAAAAATGTCCCTTTTCTTACCTTTGAGATGCTCAAAAAAACCTGAGACATATCTTTGAAAAATTAATTAAAACAAAACCCCCACCATTTTTTCTTGAAGGGCTGACTTCCTCTGGGATATTTAGTTTAAAAGTATTAGGTCTGAATACAATTCTAGAAGACTGCAAAGGAGATCTACTCTACAAAAAGTGTGCTGCATTTGTGTGCTGAACAGAGATACATAACACAGTAACCTCTAATCTCGTTTAAGACATTTTTAATCTCACACATTACATGCAACACTATACACATTCTGTTTAACATTAAAACTGCTTTCGACCCCACATGCAACAGAATAAAGTCACAAATATTTCTCAATAACTTGATATTGAGTTGTATACTTTATTTTAACACAGCTAATAATTTTTCTGCTTTTAACCGCAGAAAATGAACATTAATAAAAGCAAACATCTGACTACAATTCACTACTTTTTCACACTGTCAAAGCAGTATCTTCAATGTACCTTTATCTACAATATGATCCAGACCACCCAGAAGTCGCAGTTCTTCTTTAAACCAGTCCCCAGCTCGCTTTGAGGTGAGAGACAGTAACGTCTCCATTGCCAAATGCCCGGTCTGAAAGAGAGAGGGTCTGGAATCAGTGAAATCATCACAGGCAGCTGTATATATCAAATCATACAAACACACGTCACATAAAACCCATAAAAACAGCAGCAGAGATTCTGAGTAGAAGAACCAGCAGAGGGAGCAAGAACAGACTTAAAAAATATGCATATCTTAAAAAAATGTCGGTACTGATAAAAAGCTACTTTGCATTTTCAAATTTTCTTTATTTTATTAATAGCTTAGAAAACCCAAACAGACTCCTTTCATTTGTTTCTTTTGTTATCAAAAGAAACAACCGGAGGAAGGAAATGGACAAATCAGCCAGGCAGGAAAAAAAACCCAAGAAAAGCCAGAGTGAACACAGCTTCCCTGGCTCACAGATACATTTGCTCTGTGCTTGTAGAACACATTTGCTTCCAACATAGGTACTTTGTGTTTTTAATTTTAAACCCATAGAATAAAGCAATTAAACTGAAACACTGCAGAAAAATGTTACTCTATTTACTGATTCAGTTTTCTTTTAAAAAGAGGAACACATATAGAAATTTAGCTATAGCGAATATAAGTTCACTCCCTGCAAATAGAACTTGAAGAGACTTTAGGTGACTATCTTAAATAATCCCCTGCATTGTCTTTAACCAAAACCAACACCATTTGTTAAGTCAAGACTAACTTATTTTTCCAAAGGCCTCTAGTTAAAGACATGTTAACAATAAAACATTTGTATACATACAGATTTACACCTATGCAAAAGGAACTAGTACAGATTTCCTGTAACACCTGGAAAACACAGAGGCAAATCTGAACTACCATAAGCTTAATAAATTCATATATGGTACGTAAATACAACAACGAAAGGCTGAAGAAAAAGCCATAAGATCTCGTTAAAACCAACTGAATTTTACCACTCTCAAGTCACCTTCCTTCCCTGACAGATTGGATGTGCAGTGTTCCAGGGAGGGCTGTGCTTTCTCTGAGCTGTGCCGGATGTTCCAGGACAGCAGTTCAAACTCAGCCCCTCCTGGGAATAACAGCTCACCAGGCTTGAGCTCAGGTGATTCCTCTCACTTTACAGACTGAGCTTGAAACATGGGGAACTGAAATCATGCATAACCTAAACCTGACTGAAGGAAGCTGATTAAAAACTCTCCTTGGAGATCTTTACAGCTACAAAAGATTTAGTTAACTTCCTAAATACCTTCACCACAGAAGCTCAAAGGCCACACAAGGTTTGAAATACGGCAAAGGGCAATAAGACTTAAAAAACCTCCAGGAGAATATAATCTGATATTTGTACTACCGGGCATAAGAACACCATTTTCTTTTTCTTATTTTTTTTAATAAAAGCAATGAAACCTTGTAAGCCTTTTGCTTTTGAGGAAAGTAGTCCATTGCATTCAATTTTTATGTCGATTATTACAAAATTTTAACACCAAAGGTTCAAAACATGGTTCCCTTAAGCTTTCAGCCTTATGTTTATGTTGACAGTGAAAACCAGAATAACCTCTTTCATCATCTGGAAAGAGAAGTCACTTCTGAAGGTTTTTGTTAGGATGCAAAAGAGAGGAGTTGGCTACAAGCATGAGCTACAGAGGGCTGTGCTGACTGACAGGCAAGGGCCATTTGCTAACATGAAGGCTGAGTTCTTCAGGTTTTATCTTCTAAGCCAGCACAAAAAACCTGGAACAAATTCAATCCACGGAGAACTCTTTCTTCATTTCTGGGTTTATATTTTTAATATTAAGAGCAGAACCCTTTAAATACCTGTTTGAGCACTCAAAAAACTAGCTTCTAGACAGTCACATAACATGGTCTGTGGGAAGAGAGAGCCTGTATTGATCATCTTCACTTGATCTGTGCAAGATTTGAAAAACTGAAGGTATAACTGGTTAGGCAAAAACTAGAGTTATCAAAACATCTGCTGCAATCCTCCTGTTTCTCAGTTGATACGTCTGAGTCTGAAAAAGCCCAGATCTTTTCTTTACTCCCAGAAGATTTGCATTTTTGTTAGCATTTTCTGCCTGTCATCTGGTACGAAATAGAGATTACTTATTGTATCTCATGACAGAGATCCATCCAAAAGCAGTTTGATCTTCTACATATGTTCATTATTGTCTCAACTTACCGTTGCTACTATCTTAAAATGGAAGAGAACCTAATCATCTCATTTGGCTTGCAAATATTCTCTGAACACTATATAGTCTCTGCTTCTAGATGGTGCAGCTGGGAGGAAACCAGTTTCCATCTGTGGGGTACCACAGTATTCAGTGCATTTACAGCAACAGCTCAAAATAAATTTAAAAAATAGAGCTGTCTCAGAACCCACCCCCCCAAATAAAACAGCTGAAATTGATGGCCTAGGATATTATTACTCATGAACAGCTTCCTCACAAGACAGAGACAGAGTCCCTTTTGATATATCCTCTCCCTTTAAAACCCATGCCTAAGAAAACACAAGAACAGAATTACAGTTCATAAAAAAGCATCAGGCTAGATCAGATTATGAATATGAGAAAAGCTCAAGCAGGAGACAGTGGTCTTTGTGGCTGGATGCTTTTGCAATGAGGAACCTGTACCAGCTGTTCCATGCTTAATAAAGGGAGCTGTCTTACATTTTATAGTGCAAGAGATATCCTGGCACTGACAAACTGTGTGCTATGTGAGCTGCCTTCAGTGCCAAAACAGCACTGAAATAAGACTCTGATTATACCAATTCCTAGCTGATCACCACCTAGAGAACAAATTTCATTCTGTGTTGGTATTTTCACACTGTAAATGCAAAGTGGAGAATATAATCTCAAATTCATTCTTCCTTTGCAGATTTCCAAGGTCAGAAAACTAATATGAGCCCCCTACCCACACGTTTCATATGTTCACAGGGAACAAAAAATTGAAACTTCTAAACAATTCTCCACTGTCACCACAAACTGATTACCAAGATTAAGAATGATGTCATCAATATTAACTTCCTCACCCAAAATTCAGCTCTTGCTATTGCTACATAATACTGACTTTTCACACCAACTCAGCTATCTGTTCCACAGCCAGAATTTGGATGGAAAACCCCCAAGGTAAACCCTTCCTAAAGTGACACAAAAGTCACAGAAGCTACAAAAGAAAATGCCAGCTCAGCAAGGCGTATCATCCTTTAGTCTAACCGAATATGGAACGCAATCTTGACTGCAGATTACTGGCAGGAGTTGGAACACTACTTGCACAGATAAAGCTCTAAAAGACTCCCTTCATAAACAATAAATCAGAAGCTTCTCCTGTTGGGTGTATTACAAGAAAAATGGCAAAAACCTAGTAAGGATCTTGAACAGAATGTATTACAGGATGTTAAAAAATTAAGATCATACCAACATCCACTACACTGAAATATGGTGAATACAATGACACATTAGTAAATTTTGTCATTTATGACCACTCATCTTGTCAATCTGTCAATCAATTCTTTAAATACACTCTTTTAAAAAGCCTTTGTAACTTGCCCTTTATTTTCTAAGCTAGCATCAAACCATGGCTAAATTTATTTTTAAACAAAAACAGTTCACTCTGCTGCAGCTGAAGGTCTTTTCATGAAAAGCAAGTATGTTGAGAAAGGGAAGAAAAAATTCATCCACATTTGTGGTAATCAACAGATCTGCCACCACACTTTGGGCAGGGAAAAATTAGTTTCTGCAGGACAGATTGTTGATTTTTTTTTTTTTAATGGGAAAACCATATTTTCAATTTAGCACAAAACACTCTTATTCCCATGCACAAACCCCTATTTGCTTGTGAAAGTACATATAAAATTTGAGGCAAAGAAATGGAGTCCAATAATCTAAGCATGGTCTTTAAAGACATGGTTATTTAAAGTGGTACTTGTTTGTAATTGCTCCCTTAGAAGGGGCAAATGGACACTCAGAGAGCTGAAGAACACCATACCTTTATCCTACTAACAGCCTTTTAAAAAGGAAATTTCAAATTGAAAGAAGAAAATACTTGCAGTGCAGTCATGTACACATCAAAGGTAGACAAAGTGTCACAACTCCTTTGCTGGGGATACAAAATTAAAGATGATGCTCACAAGTTCCACTTTATTGAGCATTCCACAACCACCAAGGCTTTCTAACAAGAGCATGTTACCCACCGTGATGTTTTCGAGATCGAGATGTTTGTTGTGAACGGTTTCACACAGTCTCCGAATTTTTTCCTTAATTTTGTTCATGTCTTTTTCATTCAGTAGCTTGGCAGAAGAAGCATCTTGTTCCAATTCCAAAAGCCGTATCATCAGATCTAGACTGGCTCTGTCTAAATCCATGTTCAAGCGATCTCTGCTCAGGATGTACATCAGAGCTGCTGTACAAAGGGACAAATTCTTGGGGTGGGAGAGAAAGGAAGAAAGAGACCAGGTAGTTTTTAATAATCATTCTAAGCAGACCTTTTACCATTTTTAATAAACAAGCTGAAGATTTATGAAAGAAAATGCCTGACAAGTCCCAATGTACACGAGCACTCACATGAGCACTCGCTGTTGTACAGATTCCTTCTAGCAAGCTACCAATGCTTTCTCCTAGCAAATCAAACTGAGACACAAAGCACTCAGTGTATTTACACAATCCTAGTAGAAAAGCACAGGTTTCTACTTTTGAGGGGCTCAGTGCTGCAGACAGAATAAGAAACAGAACCTCCAGTAACACAGTATTACAGAAGAGACAGGTGGCAGGGGACAAAGTGAAAAAGCACAGGGTACGTGGCAAGGTGGGTGAACATTCTGGTTTGAGGGGATGAACTGATGACAGCACCAGAAAATACAGAGATCATAAAGACAGTGATTGGGGGTGCAACACAAGAGGAGTGCCTGGTGACATAAATTCTGATTCTGCCAAACAGGTCTGTCAGTCAGTAGTTTATCCAAACCTTTTTAGCATAAACACATTTTAGTTCCAGGGGAATTCTGCTTTTTGGAAGTAGCCGGAGCATAAACCAGCTTCCCCCCTGCCCTGTTCCCATCAGTCCTTAACATGTGAATGTTATTATCCTGACCATTCCCATCTCATACAGAATGGGTGTAAAGGGATCTCTTACTGGCTAAAGAAGATTTAAGTTTCCTTAAAGAAGGAATTAAATTTCATCTTCATGAGGATCCAGAAAAGCAAAAGGAGCAGTTGACTGTCAGGAAGGGACACAGAAGACAGTGAAGAGAGAGAGAGCAAAGCTCTCCATCCCCAGTGTTGTTAAGTACAGCACTTGCACCAAGAGCACTGAGCTCCAAGTCATGGTAAAGAGAAGAATGTTCCAGGGAACTGAGTTGTGCTGGGCACAAAACTTTCAGAAACCTTTGACAATAACTGGAGGAGAGGAGAGCTGAAGTGTGTGTGAGGTATGTGTGTCCTACTGAGATCAACTCTCAAGAGCCAACAGGCTGCATGCATCCATTGCAATTGTTTCTGTATAAGGTAAATTAAAAATGGAAACAAACTAATTCTGGGATGTGAGTGTTGTACAGCTCAACAGCAAAGAGCAGTATTTCTGTGTCAGAGCTGATTAACATCTTTTTAGAGTTCAGTCAACCATCAAAGCAATCATTAACTGCTGTTTATTTGAGAAGCAAGTAATGATCATACTTGGTCATACTAAGCAGTATCAGCATTTCCAAGACACGATTAGGCAGATGACAGTCTATCAAAAGCTATGTTAAAACTCCTTCCTGTCTGAGTCAAGCAAATCCTCAGGTGAATAAAGACTTTCATCTAACCAACTACCAAAGATGCACTTGAAGTACTGAAGGAAGGAAGCAAGAGTTTCCAAATCCACAGCTCCTTTTGTGAATACAACCTTGAGACAGAGTTGTTTAAAAAAAAAATCCAACAAAATCTTAGCTGTGAACATCACTACTCCAGCCTTTTATCACATCTGTGATGCAAAGCAGAAAGCAATCTATGCGATTTATCTACACAGAGAGGGATACACTGTTCTCCCTTAATTTTTATTAACTTTCCCCAGTAAGCCTTTGCAATTCTATAATTTTAATTATAGAAATGTTTACTCTTGATTTATTTGCAGCTGGCTTATCCTGTAATAAATGTCAGGTTCCCGGAAGAGTCTGGAAGATGAGGTTCTTTCAGAACGACAGCGATTAAACAGGACACAGGATTACTCCACTAACCATTGTTCAGCCAAGGTAGACCTAATAAAGCAATATCTACGAAGAACTATTTTCTAATGACCAGCATTATCTAGGTGGGTTTCTTGCTAAAAAAAAAAAATTTGCTTTAAGCCCCCAAAGGAGTTCCTATCAGCTAGAAACTATGCAGCAGGTAACAGAGGGAAACTGCTGAATTTATAATCTGGGTTGCATTATTTAGGCATTTCAAAAAGTCAGAGACTGTTCTTAGATCACTACTCAGAAATGCTTTACAGATACTCCAAAGTCTGATAAGGGCAGTCACACTCATTCTGTAAAGCTCTGTACCAAGCCTGTCCAAGGTTCCCTTCTTTTCAACCCATCCAGCTTTCCATTATGCAGGGAGTAACAGTTCTCCCTCCACATCAGCTCTGCCAACACATCCCTTCAGATCTGCCTCCCAGGTTTTAAAATACTGAAACGTTTCAGAAGTGACCAAGACATGATGCAGAAGGTCTCAGGCTGCAGGACTGCTGGAAAAGCAAAAAAGGAGAGGACTAGCTCTGTGTAAGAAGAACCAGGCTCCTGCCACAGCACACACACTCGGGCCAACAGGCCTCCAAATGCTGATGTGCAACAGGAAAAGAGTGATGTTGGAAAAGTAAGGACCTTAAATGTGGATGGTGCTTATGACAGAATAAACCTGCTTTAGCTTCATGTCAGTGATATGGGTTTTCTAATGTTGGTTTCTCTTAGCCTCTGTAAGCAAGTTGGTTTCATCATGAATGAAACAACTTTACATTTTCCTCTGATCTTCTGTATAACCACCCTGCCTGAAAGCTATTTCATGCCCTACAGGTACAATACACAGAATTCTGAGCTGAGGAGGGAAAAATTGTTAGTACAACTTATTTTTGATCAGTATCCTAAGAAAACAAAGCAGCCAAAGAATCCAATCAATCCCTCAAAATCCCTCCCTTACAGATTGCAGTACAGGGGTGGTTTTTTTTGGATGACCTTCCCCCATCCCATTTTCTATTCCTCAAGATGCTTAAGGCACATTCTGCTTCCAAAGAAATGTGGAGAGAAGAAAAAAATTAAAATAAATAGAATTTGCTCTAGACAGAAATTTTATGGCATATCTAACTACGGATTTGCACTCCATACTTCTACAGAATTCAGGAAAACATCCTAGTTGAACATACACTCCAGAAACAGCAGACCATTTACACCCACTCTCATCCTTGTCTTCTCTTGCTTGTTCTATTTATACTCCAGCTTGTGGGAACAGATGGTTATTTTCTAGGGTTCAGCACTACATTTAATGCACTTTTATTTTTTTTTAAGTTATTCACATGCTGAAGACATTACAAAACCACGTTTCTGTGCTTAACTACTGACAGTTATTATGAAAATATAGGTTTTATTTTCAAAATTAACAATACTTCAAAACCTTCATAGAGCACCACTGAAGAGACAAAGTCAATTAATAACTTAAGCGTAAACACAAGTCTACAAGAAAAATTTGGTGGAACAAGTAATTTTCATGTGATTATTTTTGGGCATAGCTCGGTAAGATAGCTGGTTATTTTGTTTTCCTTGCTGGTTAAAGAAATGCCAACTGCCAATCTGCAACTGCTATTTTATACTCCTTATGGAAAGTTATAGAGTCCCCTCCACCCTCAGTCTCTTCCACTGTATCAGAACACTGAATGCAGTGTATGCTCATATCTGTTTCTATTAGCAATGTAATTGTGGCAGCTTTCCCATCTCCAAAACACTTGAAAGAAAAATATTAACTAAATAATTGTGCATTTTTTCCCCTCAGTCCTTATTCATCTTAAATGGATTTGAGCCACGCATGCAAAGCCTAGTGTGATTTATTACTCTTGACTTACTTCAAACTGAGATTTAGTGGAGAAATTTTATTCATTTTGAATAGTGAAATAATGAATGAATGGAAGGGTAGCATAGAAAAACAGCATGCTTATACAGAGAAGACCATGTTGGAGTATATACTGTCAGTAGTTAGGGCACATGTATTAGCATTTATCAAGAGTAGTTTAATAAATCAGTAATTTCAAAATACTGTAAAACCTGTACCAAGAATGTACTGTAACTATATTAAAACATTAACTACAAATTTTTTTTCCCTTGACAAAAGGGAGCGTTTCATCAAATATACTGAAAATAGTGAATATAATCAATGCTTTTTGCTACTGCAGACTAATAATAGCAGGCAATTTCCTTTTGAACTGCATGTGCTGCTTCTTTGGAAAATGAAGGAATAATGGTAACTGTTAAAAGACAGCCAAAAATACACCCAGCAAGCTTGTACACTTTCCAAGGAACCATAGCTGTCCTCTGCCCATCTCCTGCATCTCAGTGGTGGCAACTGTCCTAAATAGAGTGCCTGTACTTTATTTACTTCTAGTATCACTTGGCACTATTTTGACAGCTCACAAAATAATGAATTCATTGAACCTGCTGCCTGTGTTTTACAGTTAGCCATCGCTAATTTTTGAGGAAGATGGAAAATAAGCTATTACTTTAAATCAGTTACTGAAGACTCTACAGCTTTTCCCTCCACCCACAGTAAGATGTCAAACAGCACCTCTGAAATATCTATTTCTGTGAGTGCAAAGTTTCATTCTGCATTGTATGTCATTCTTCTAGAGCTATTACAGAAAATAATAAAGCTGACTGGATATACAGATCTACTACCCATTTTCAGTGACATCTTCTATGTTCAACTTCTGTAAAAATATCTCAAGGGACACCCCACAGAGGTAACGTTGATAGGAAGGAAAATCCAAACTGCTTCAGTTTAACTCTCAGGTCATGTTATCATAAGTAGATAAAATTTACCTTTCCTAGATTTCTCATAGAGCACTGCACACACTCAAGGCATCCCACAACTGCAATTACAGCAGTGCTCAGGAGACAGGTACAAGACATGACAAATTCCCCACAACAGCTACAGAAAAGGTGATAATTCACATACAAGCAAGTCTGGAGATGAGCACTTAGAGCCACTTTTAAATACAACAAGGAAAGACTCCTTCCAAATGTATTGTATTTGAAAGAAATCATAAACACAACAAGAAAACAACGAAAAAAAGCTTAAGAGATGCCATAAAATAGCAATCCAAAGCGCAGTCAGTTTTTTAAAAAAGCTTAAATGATTTCTTAAAAAAAGAATTTCCAAACCCAGAGGCACATGAACAGTGGAAGAGGAATTTGTCGTTGGAACACAGCTTTCTCAAATGGAGCCACTGATCCCAGATGCACAGAAAATTAACACACAGTTGACAGGTATCAACTAACTCTCTAAGGAAATATGGAAGGTCTCCTTACCTGGTGGTGTTGGGAATCATCCAGTGTTTTGAAAACCATGGCTACCATCCCGTGTGCTCTCAGATGCATTCGGAAGCTGGGCATGGCGCACTTGGTCGCCAAGCTGATTACACTGGAGAAAATTCATTCTGGATTAGAACAACTGAAATGACCACACTTAGCAAACCAGCACATAAACAAGTCCACAACACAGGACTGACCAGATGCCTCAGACAAAACTCTGTTGGGATGTTTCTTCTAAAATTTACATAAGGCAAGTTTGCAATTGGTGAACAGAGTAGTGTTTTACTCAACAGTTGCTTACCAGCACCAAACCATGTCTGCTTTATTCTAAGCCTGGCTAAAAACAGGACTTGAAAGAGCACCTTGAACTTGCTTCTTAAACAAAACAAAACCAAAAACAAAAGGTGAAACCAATAGTTAAATTAAAACATTCATGGATTAAGCATGAAGGTCTGATTTAGAGACACGCGAGAGCTTATTACAGACCAAGGCATTATCAGAAATTGTAAATGTGAACTTCCACTGCTATCTGATGGTTATCTAATTGACTGACTAGTCCCACTTATTGTCTGATATTACTATTACAGGACATTTTTTTTATATTTATTGCTGCATTTATGAATGATGGAAACATTATAGATTTCAGAAAAAAGTCTGACAAATATATTAATCAGTGACCAGCATACCAGTTCATTTCAAAAATGGAGTCTTTCCCCTGGTTTTATCAGTAAGCTGCCACTTCTAGCACAGTGAAACATGGCAACTATTAAAAACATATTGCTTTCAAATGTGCAGTAATGTGGGAGTGATTCTGCAATCAAGTCTTCCATGGCTACTGAGGAATCTGATTGTAAGAGATGCACACAGTAAGGTGTTGAAAGAACAAGAGGCTTTTCTGTCTCCAGTCACAACAGCACCAGTGAGAGCTTACCTACCAGTTTCTCATTCTTTTATGTCTATTCCTATCCTTACACATTGATTCCCTCTGGAAAAACACTTTTCTTTTAATTTGTTAACTGAAAGAAAAGATTTTTATTGTGTTTATACAAGTTACATTCTATCACATAAATTTGGAAAATAAAGAATTCAGTTTAAGATCTTAGTACGTTTGCCATATGAGCAAATTAAGAGCACTCAATATGAAAAATACCCCAAATTGTCATTATAGTAGTAATTTATTCTTATCATAACGTATATACAAACTGGATGACAGAGTTCTTATTTCTATACTCCAGCAACAATATTCATTGCTAGTTTCTGAAGAACAAAGAATAAATTTTAAAATAGCCCCCTTAAAGGCATATAAAGCTTTTTCTCAACCACAGTCAAACCACAAATAAAACATTCCCATCACCTGTCTCTGTGGGTTCGAATTTTACCTTCTCTATTATTTCAGTTTTACTGAACAGAGAGGAAAATTTACAAGTATATAAAAAATATTATAAATGGTTATTATATTTAGCAATTTGATAATTACTTTTATGTCCAGGGAATGGACACCAATATTAATTCATAAACTCTGTCAAAGCAAGACTAACATTTTTCCCACCAACTTCACAATAATGTGTAACTTGAATATTAAGAGTGCAATGAGTAGTCTAAGACAACTGAAAGGAGCCTCCGATTAACACTGAGGCCTCTTTACTTCCAGTGTTATTTCTCAACAGAAGATAAAGAACAGGTAGCTGGATTTAAACAATAACTCAGTATTACATTAGTTCTAGATTACCATCAGCAAATTTTCCATTCTTAGGGATTTTATTTTAGAATTGAATTTCACATTAAGAACAGAAAAGACATCATACATTAGGTTGCACTAAACAAAGAAAAGTTATCAGAAAATATTTTTTTAATTTATAGCTGGGATAACAAGTGTGTCATATGTCTCTTAAGGTACAATTTTCTATTTCATCTTCATGGTTATACTGTTTTTGATTATTCACAAGATACCATCTTGGTTATTATTTTCAGATTTTATTCTTCATAGCAGAAGTGCCAGGTAAGTGGCAATGACATTTTAAAGCATGGTCTCTTCTCTGATGAATATTTAATTCAGTATCTCTTAAATATAGGTTCAGTGTTTTATATTAAGATATCTTACCTAAGGCAACGTGTGTTTAGGGGTTGATTGCTCTTCAATCCACTTAGCAAGTACTCAATATCATCTGTGAACTCTTGATTTTCACCAAATTCCACTACATCATTGAAGTGCTTTACATGCTGAACAACAGTGTATAACTGGAAAAGACAAATATTTTGACCTAGGTAAGTTGCTCTTGGGATTGATTATAATCTTAACAAGTACAGTTTAAAAATCTATTCAGTTTTAAGTGCAAGGAAACATTAAGAAGTTAATGAAGGCCATTCAATTATTTAGATAAAAATATTATTTTTAATAGGAAAGCCAAATTTCATTTTGAGACTGTTCCTTCAGTACTTAGGATTACCGATAATTCTTTATCTTAAAAATTTGTTAAGAATACTTACTTCTTTGTCTTCTTTCCTACATTTCAATGCAGTTACTATCTCTTGGTAGGGCTGAGTAGGTATTGTCACAGTTTTTATCACTTTGGGAGGTGGTGCAGGAGCCTTAAAAACTCCATCATCTTTATGAATTGCCTCCTTTGAAGATAGCCTTACCTATTAATAAGAAAGTGCTAAAATGGGCAGATGTTTTGAGCACGTAAACATACACTAATACATCAGGAAACAGTACAGGTGTGCAATTGTCAAACTCACATTTTGGGACTATTTAGTCCTTGCCTTACACTACCAAGATGTACCTAAGCTGTGGGATAATGTACCTATGCTTAAATTAAAAAAAAAAAAAAAAAAAAAAAAAAAACAAAAACCAACAAAACCAAAAAAACATTTCTAAGTATCAAGAAAGTTCCAGTAGAATTCTGAAACTAAAAAAAAATAAGAAGACAAAAAAAGTCTTTTATACTGGTTCCTTAAGCTTTAGGGTAAGTAAACCAACCAAATTCAGTGTTTAAAAACAGTTAAAGTTTGTAGCACCATAAAAAATGCCACACAGAGAAGTGAGAGGCACGGTGCATGCCTCAAACAGGTACTGCATGCTCTTGTAAATCCATGGTATTCTCTGTACATGAGCCTTATTCCTGTTCGTGCTGTTAACTACTTTAGGAACAACACATCAGAGCACAAAATACAGCAAAACCTGTTCTGAACTTACAACAGGCAGGAGAGAACTTGATGTTAGGTCTAGAATAACTACTGCCAGGTTTCCAGACATCTCAGGCAAGTATTACAGGTTTCTCCTCAACCTACTTTGCTGTATTAGTTTGAGGCTACTATAAGCTTAAGTGTCAGCTTATCTTCAGATTACTACTTTGGCACAAATTCAGATATGAAGACAAGCTACAGAAAACAAGGCATACAGGAAACAGACCTCCAAATGCCAAATTCTAAACGTAGTGCCAATGCCAGTGGTCATTTACTTACCCTCAATCTTTCAGTAACATCATGCACTTAGTTTCCTTACACAGAAAAATGAGAATATTTTTAATGTGTGGCTGAAAAAATAGAATTAATATGCAGGCATAGAGGAGGCATGAACTGTCACTCTCTCCAGAGGGCAGCTGAAGAGGAAGCCTTCTTATCCATTGTACATTGACAGTTAAAAATAAAACATAAGCCAAAACAAGCTGCTCTATTAATGGAGTATTCTTTACATTCTGCCTCTGTCAATGTGTGGCATTTCAGTATTCACTCACTTAGGCAACGTGGCAAAATGCTAATAAACCACCCTGAAAAGCTGGTTTAGAGCACATACTGGAGGACTCTGATCTTATCAGTCTGTGAACACATGAGATCCACTGAAGTATCTCATCCAAGTCTTGGTCAATGGCTGCCCCTTCAAAGCCAGTTCCAAGGGAGCTTGGAGAGGCCATAGGAGAGATTACTTGGCATAAGCAGTTGGCATGCTGTGGGTTTCTCACCAGAAACCTGAGACAAATTTATCCCAATCTTCAGGTAACAAACTTATAAAGAAATTAAAGAGGCAGGATCATCTGCACAGGAATTACCAGTGAATATCTGGATTAAGGCTCATTTACCTTGCAATTTTTAACCCATGCAATTCACACACACGTAAATCAAGGTTAAAAAGCGACTGAAGTAACTCCAGATGTACATCTTAACATGAGGAGCAGATACAAATTCCCCTAACTGGTTTGTTCAGCCAAACCTCTGCCATATTCCTGGATTAATATTTTGATGGTTCCAGTTACAAAGGAGAAGTCTGAGAGAAGACAGAAGTACCTGTCTGAATGAATGATCCAGACATTTTCCTAGCTTGAAGTTATATTCAAAGTCTGTCTGAGAAGACTCAAAGTCTGCCTTTAAGTCAGTTATCAGAGTACTACACAAAAATCAGTATCAATACAAAGATTCAGCAAGCAACAAAAACTTCAGTTCAAATGTACATAATTTAAATTGAGAAAGGGGTTTAGGAAAACCCTAGGGCTGAAATTTCTGCTCTGTCCTCAAACTCTAGTAGAAATTGTTATTTTCAAATGAGTCATCTGCATTTTCCAGGCAGTGCAGTTAGCATCCAAGGAAGGCTGTTCAGAGTACTGTGAGGAGGACACTAAAACCTACCACAAACCCAAGAGGTAGTATCAGAACACCATACACAGAGGTAGAATTTAAAAAAAAGAGAAAAAAACATCAACAGAAAGAAAAAAACCCAAAAACCTCATCACAAACTGGTGACAAAAACAAAAGCTGAAGACTTGTTGCAGCAAAAAAAATCTACTTTCTGATTTTCTGTTCTCAGGCAAGTACTGCCAGAAAGGTACCAAATGAAATGAAGTTTACTGACAGCATGCAATGCTCTCTTAGCACAATCAGTAACAATTTCTACATGCATAAGCCCAAGACCCTGAATTCTCAGGGTCTCAAAAGAGTTAAAAAACAATTACTTTGAGCCTCAAAACAATCACTGACTTTTGAACAAACAACTTCTAGAAGGGTTCTCACCTCTTGTCTATTTTTTGTACACATGCTTATATCCAATCTGTTCATATTAGCATCGCTGACTGTACACAGAAAATGTTGTTTCTTTCACAGTATCTAAAGCCTCAAGTCAGCAACTGCCATCACTCCATTAGAAAGGAAAAAGAAATTAACTCTCCTTTTAAGTTTCTCCTTTTTGATCTGCAATTTGCTGATTTCTGTGGTCATAACTTGCAGTATTTTTTGGTAACTGTATGTTGAAGGGATGTGGAAGATCACATTCTACAATATTTTCATTGACAATGTCTTTTCTAGCAAATACCCAATGGCTCACATCACAAAGTGGACTTCATTCTGAATTACTGTGACATTACCAGACACCAAGAACTTATTTTTTTTAAGAAAATATAAATCAGTGAATCTTAAAAGGAGATTTAGTAAACTTGAGAAAAAACCAACAGTCTACTTACTGGGACACTGGGAGTTTTCAAAGCTGGTGGTGCTGGCAGAGCCTCTGATTCTGGCTGGTTCCAGTGTCTAGCATTATACACAGCTTTTGTGGGAGACTAAAAGAGAAAAATAAAAGTTATTTTTTAAGTAAATTTCCAGTAGTCACTATATATTTCATAAACTACTGTAGCAATACTGTAGCCCAACAAGGAAAATTAGCTTCATTTTTCCCTTTCTGTATTCCTAGCAACACAAGTTCTCAACATCATATATATATCAGAAAACGAGACAGATTGTGAAGCATCTGATGGTTTGAAAGACATACAGACCCACCTAAATGGCAAAAGACATGATATGTACATATTTAAAGAATTTTTCAGTTGTTTAATCTTTAAAATTTATTCAAAGGCAAAAGGTCTGCAACCTTCCTATAGACAAAAACAGACAGCTCTGGGGAAAAAAAACATGCTAGCAAACATTATGTCAGTAGAAATATGACTAGTTTAGAATCAAAATGCAGAACTGATACAGACTTTGATGCTCTGAGGAATAAAAACATCCAAATGAAATGCCTTAATCCATATTAATAAATTAAGAAGCCTTTTCTTTTTGTCTTGCTGAAAAATGTGTCAAGGCAAATCTAAATGCATCAACATTTACTGTCCTTGAATTTCTGGGAAACATAATATAATTCTTAGAGAAAGCAAAGACAGACTATATTTCTAGCATTTGAGTTTATCAATTTATTTTGCATAACAATACTGCAGACTAACACACCACTGCAATTTTCGCAATTTCCCAATGTGCCACGTATGGAATAAACTGTATTATCATCTGTCTCCTCACAGCACTTATACAGCACTTAAACGGGGAAAAGTCATTTCAAAAAAAAAAAAAAAAAGAAGTTAGGCAATAAAAATATTTTTCTGTCAAAATATAATGTTTCAAGTCTTTAACCCAAATACAGCCCACGGAGGGGCTGTGTGAGGTGAGCCCAGCAGCAGCAGCCAGGGACTGAAGCCACTTCGTGAAGCGCAACAAGGTTCTGCCATGTCAAAAGCTACAAAGCAGATTTTGTAAGTCAAGGGTTTCTGTATTACTGTAGAGTAAAACTCTGCTGTGCTGCATCCTTCCATTCTCCACAAGAGAAAGCCCTGACTAACAAAATTTCAAGGAATATAAGCAGAATGAAAACCTCCACGAGGTTTGTCAGCAGAATGAAAATCGCTATGAGTTTCAGGGCCTGAAAGACCTGTCGAGCACTAAATCATTTGAGTTTCCAGACAAGATCCCCTAATTCCAAACCCCCTGCCATGGGCAGAGACACCTTCTCTCTTGCAGTTTGATGCCATTATTCCTTGTCCTGTTTCTACATGTGCTTATAAAAACGCCCTCTCCAGTTTTCTTGTAGGCCCCTTTAGGTACAGGAAAGGTGCTCTAAGGTCTCCTCGAAGCCTTCTCTTCTCCAGGCTCAACAACCACAGCACTCTCAGCCATCTTCATATTTGAGCTATCCCAGCCCTCTCATCATCTTTTTGACCTCCTCTGGACTGATTCCTACAGATCCTTATGCTGGGGGCCCCAGAGCTGGATGCAGTGCTCCAGGTGAGGTCTCATGACAGTGGAGTAGAGGGGGAGAATCCCCTCCCTCGATCTGCTGGCCACACTTTTGATGCAGCCCAGGACACAAGTGGCTTTCTGGGCTGCAAGTGCACATTGCCAGCTCATGTCAAGCTTCCCAAGTTGTTCTCCTCAGGGCTGCTCCCAATCCATTTTCCATCCAGCCTGTATATTTAATATCAGTTTCAGCTGATGCGTAATAATTCTTGATCTTGCAGGGAAGCTTAACTGCTACAATTCTGACAGCAGTGTACTGCATTACAGCTGCCAGAAGTCCTGTTAGCATAGGATATTCTTTATTAGTAGTCCCAAATCTCACTTATAGTCTCAAATAGTATTCTATCCCTGCTTAAAGGATACTAATATATTAATATTCCTGAATTTCCGGTCTGGGAGCACCATGCTGCACAGAAGCTTTTCAGGTCCCTGCAACAGCAGTGTCAGGCTCAGCACACCCAGGATGAGATGCTGAAGGGAGATGCAACCCACACAACAGGATCCTACATCTGTGGCATTCTTTTAGCTTCATGCAGCAACAATGGGGCACAGACCCACGCAGGCTCTGCTGCAGGACTTTTATGAAGTTCTGGGGAAAAGCACACCATGCTTGGGACACAAAGCCTCTGCCTGCACATTCCTTGGCCTTCAGACCTTGTGCTCCACGAGGAGCCAAACACAATCCCTGCAGGCACAGGGGCAGCTTGTCTTAGGAAGGCAGCAGCTGGGACAGGCCCTCGCTGAGCAGGCAGCAGCAGCACCTGCAACCTCGGCTTTTCCAAGCTGGGCACCTCTGCTGCACAAAGAGAGGAGGCACAGCCCCAGAAAGCGAGGCCAGTGCTCTGGTCTGGAGTAAGAACAAAGCACACAGACAGCTGGGCCAGTGCAATCACAAGGTCCACAAAGCATCAGGGTGTTTTCTTCAGCAGAGAGCAACAGCTGATGCGTAGGAAAGAGTTCAACAGGGCAAACAGATAAAACCAAATTCTTTCTAAATACTCTGGGCTCACAGGCTTCCAAAGATGGCATGCTTTTTATTTAACAGTCAAAAATGGGCTTTTCTTCCCTGGTTTTCCTTAATCCCTTACTGAACCAAAAGCTAGGGCATCCCAAAGTGTTTTGTGACATGGCACTTTACAGCTTGCTTAAGCATTAGCAGTGCAATATAGAAAAAAAAGCCACATTTTATGTAAGAAAACGAATAATGCCACCAATAAATGCTTGCTCTGAGAAACAAGGACATCTTCATTTAATAGCTCTCTTGTAACAGAATCAAAGTGTATCTGGAAATAGTAATAATTTAAAACCTCAAGTACCTATGGTTTTAGGTAGTTTAGGTTAGTTTTAGCCACCATCCCCTGTAGTATCTTCCACTTTTAGATCAGAATTGATCTAAAAAAGTGATTAGGCCTGTGATTCCATGCCTTCCCAGTAATATTTCCTTAGACAGCAGACAGTGCTCCCCAGCATCCCTACCTACTGGTGTCTGGTCAGTCTCACACTGCCTGCACACAGCTCTACCTCCAAACACCCCTGCAAAAATCCAACACTGCTTTCCAAAGAAATATGTTCTAATCAGTTCTAACACATTATGCAGAGACTTTGGAGCCTCTCTTACTACTCACATGGACTTTGACATGGCAAATACATCCCTGCTTTACAGCCACTGCTTAAAGCAACCTTCACATTGTCCCTTGCAACACAACATTCAAGATGAATTTCCCAAACAACTGCAAAGAAACTGTGCCAATACTGATCAACCAGTGAGCACTGTGTAGACCTGCTCTGGATTACTGTGTGACAGAACTGAAGGCAGGAAAGGCATCAAAGACCACACAAATGCTAGTGAAGAAAAACTTTTCAGAAGTGCTTGATCACAAAAGCAAAGGGGTTGGTTGGGTGGTTTGGTTTCGGTGATGATTTTTTATGGCAACTGAAATGCTTGTGATAACAAGCTTCCCTGAAGAAGCAACACTGTTATTTAAGCAGCAGTGATTTAAAAAACTGACTTTCTCTTAAAGACAAGAACCTTGCAATTATTCAAATAATGCAGACTTTTCTTTAATAAGTCTTTCTCTCAAGATTAACTTAGAATAGATGCAAGCTGAAGTACATCACTCCTTTGAATTCTGTGTTCTTAAGGCAAATAAGTTCTGCAATATTAATCAGCTGTAAGAGCTTCTGCTGAATAGCAGAAGAGTTTCCTTTTTCATATGTATAGCACTGACAGCTGCTTACACAGAGATACATGTCTGAAGGAGTGCAAATATTCCAGGGAGGGTATAAAGCATATGGTACTGTGGGACTCTGCATGTGGTTCTTTGGGGGTGAGTGGAGATGCAAAACCAGAACTAATGCCAGGGATTTCACAAAATGCACAGAGCTGTCACTTTTATAAGATCATCTCCAAATGGCATCAACTATGGGTCATGCTTAACCTCCCATCCCTGAAAGCCTCAAAGCTGAAATTTTCAAAAGCTGGCACTCTGCACATACTGATGCAGCACTGCCTGCCATTCAGAGATGTAAGAATAGCAGAAAATAAGAGCCAGGGATATGAGTCACACAGAAAATACGAGTAAAACGAGAAAGACAGCATCTATTAGCAGGCAAGAATGCTTTCCAAGGTAGAAGACAATGGCAAAAGAAAACCCAAGAATATTTTTAACAGATATCCTGATAAATGCATTATTTATATTTCAAGTGCATTCAGTAACACTGTATGCCAGATGCTTGTCAAAACTACAAGTTCTAAAAAAAAAACCCAATAAAGGAAATATATGATTTACCACTCAGTATTCATAATCATTAAGAGTACTACCCTGTCCTGCATGACTCACTTTGAATAGGAAAAAGGTAACAAGCATGTTTTGCTGCACAGACCTGTTCATAATGGGTTGTTTCTTTGAACAGTGAGAGGAACGAACATCATTCAGAGCAATGAAAGAGAAATCACACTTCCAAACAGGAAGATGGAGTATCAATTCAGCACAGGCTGAGCCATGTGTATAGAACAGGTAAAAAAAAGTTAATTTAGGTTCCAGTAAGATAATGGTTTCCAACAGCAGTTTAAAACCAGAAGCAAACCAAGACCAAGCCATTTTTCCAGTGCTCAAAATGTGACCCAAATCTCCATTACTTGGATCACAGTAGCGGATTAGTGCCAATGAGCCACCTCTTGGTGCCATGGATCATTTAACTGTGAGCTGCTACACCATTTAAACACAAAACACACTATGCACACACACATAGCCAGACAACTACAAGCTGTTAGTCAGACAAGGTGGAAGAGTATCAGCAGCAAACACAACGAGCAGAGGAAAAAAAGGTCAGTGCAGCTTTTTTTGCATCAAACTCGTAAAGAACTGCAAAATCTTTTTTCTTCCTTGAAGCTCAAAAGGAGGCCCACAGGGCACAAGACAATGGATCAAACACCCAAGTGAAATACGGAAACTGAACTTGGAGAAACAGGATGGTTTGATAAACATGAGATTAATTC